GACACTGATTAACTATCTAACTTTTACTGCTTTTTTCTTTTTCTTTTTATGCGCTAAAAAAATAAAAACAAACCCAAAACCTAATGCCCAGGAAACATAAAATGTAGCTCAGAGGCAGTTTCGTTTCAATATTTACAATGGATTTTCCTCTCGTTTGACTCCGTAAAGCCCTTCCCCGCTCGCCAGCCGGCTCGGGCTGCAGGGCGGGAGTACGGCCCCGGCGGCGCTGCCAGGCCACCGGCGCGGGGCTGAGCAAGCGTTCAGAGCTCGGAAGAAAGATTAGCTGGGATTTGGGGATTTTTTTTTTTTCCTTTTTCTCTCTTTTCTCCAGCTGAACGGCAAAAGAAGATTCCGATAGAATTAAAGCGAGGCGAACCCCCAAGTCCAAGCCTCCCCGTAGCGCGGCGGCTCATTCCGGTGACGCATTGCACAGAACACAGCACCGAGAAGCGCCGAGTGCTTCCGAGACGTGAGCTCGTTCATCCTCACGCCAGCCCTGTGAGGTAGGAGAGCAGCATCACCCCGCTGGGGGGGAAACTGAGGCACGGAGCAGCGCTTCGCTCGCTCACCTTCCCGCTTGCCCCATGGCAGGAGAGGCAGCCAGCGGCACAAGCTCTGCCTGCAACTCCTTTCTGACACAACCCAGCGACCAGAAAACCATTTTGCCCCGTTCCTCAACCCTGTCCGGAGGCTCCCTACATCCCCCCTGTCCCAACTTAAAAACTCCGCATCCCTCCTCACCCCACAGATATTTTTTTGACAGCAGCCAAGCCCCTGCGCACCCCAGGACAGAGCAGGGCTGGGGCTGCTCCTTGCTCAGGGGGAGAAAAAAACAAATTCAAATTTTAAAAAAATCCCAAATTATTTCTTCTAGGATAAAAACAAGGCCGAGAGGAGCCAACGGCGTCGCTCACCCCTCCATGCCAGGGTTTCCCCTAAATTACCTTTTATTCTGGTGCAAACAGAGCGGCTACAGGAGCTACCACGGGGCCGGGGATCCTTCTTGCTTGCTTTCGGGGTTCATTAGAGCTTTTTTTTTTTTCTCCTGCTTGCTCATTCCAGGCCTGATCCGGGGCTCGCTCCTGTCTCCTGCCACCCATCTCCCCGGCCAGCCATGCCGGGGATCCCACTTTATCCCGCTTTCACTCTTCCCAGCTCAGCTTGGCTCCAGAGAAAGACGGGAGATGCTCAGAGGCGTCTTCCTTACTGCAAATCACTTTATAGAAATCATTTCCCTCAGGAAAATGAAGAGATTCCCCCCCAAAAAAGCACTGCTCGCTCCTACGGCAGTGGGACCGACTGGGGAGGAGGGGAAAAAGCATCAAAAGGTTTCCCTGAATCATCAGATTTGAAGTCAAGATCTTCTCACTGCAACAACCAGATCAACAGGACCGGGGGTGCTCGGGGTGGGATTTGGGGTTGGTTTGTTTTTTTCTTTATCCCTCAATGATACAGTTTGAACCAGTTATCAAAAATGCTTGCTGCTGGAAAAGACAATTCCGATCACCGATGTCTGAATACACTGTTCTGTGCAAGGCTGGGGGGGGAAAAAAAAAAAAAAAAGTAGAGAGCCAGAGATTTCAAGTAATAAGAAACCATTTTTCCCAGGGACAAATACCAGTCTGCCTTTAAAAAAAAAAAAAAAATTTAAAAACAATGAG